TGTGTGTGTGTGTGTGTGTGTGTGTGTGTGTGTGTGTGTGTGTGTGTATATATAATATATATATTATATATATGTGTATATATATATAATAATTATACTGGCACATCCCGAGCTGCACTTTGATTAGCTGTTGATATTAATTAGTGTTACCCAACACATGGCAAGAAGAGTACCTAGGAGAATGACTTACATGGGACCTGAATAATGAGATCAGAGGTCAAAATATTTTCTTAGCATGTCACCATTCACCTAATTCCTTTGGGATCTGCTAGATAATTAGCACTGCTTTATGCTCATTAAATATGGGGAAGTGAGAGGCGGTGTAGTCTTTGAAAGATCTATCCTTGCCCCTAAAGATTGTTCTCCTTTTCTTGAGTGTATTCAGCTCACACATTCTCACAAAGGAGGAGTGGAGGGAAGTGGGAAAACAATACTCTAGAACAATGGATGCTGAAATAGACTGTGCTGGGAAGCAAGGGAAAGGGAATAAGGTTTGTGCGTGTCTTTGAATAATGCAAAGGCATCAGACATTCTGACTTCTCTTCCTTACCTAAGAATTCCATGCTCTAGATGCAAACTACTTGTTGTGCCATGGTAGGTCCCATCTCCCTGGGCCCCATATAGAGGTTGATGAGTCTGCTACAGCTGTGGTTAAAAGAGCAGAGGCCTTTTAGCGCTGGCCGTAGAAAACGCAATATTTAAGACTCTCTGAAGTTCTTGGTTTGTTCCCCACTTGGGTTGGCAACCCACACAGGTGTGTCATGTTACCTGTAACCAGTTAAGCTGTTAGCATTTTATTATAACATGTTTTCTGTCATTGATGGTGGTGATTTTTTTTTAAGTTACCTCTGTGTGTGTCAGTATAGTTCCCTTGGAGTGTGTTGCATTGATGTTTGTGGAGACTGAAGCCCTCTTTGCTCATCTAACCAGTCTAGCATAGGAACTGTAGTCCAAGCTTCTGCTCTCTGTGCCTGTCCAGTGGGACCACCCCACCCCCCGGGGTTGGAGGATTATTTAGACCACATGACTATTCAGTCCTCTCTCCCTCTGTTGCAGTAGCACTAAGGGCATGAAGAAGGGCATGATCAGCTCCCCAAAGATTCTGAGATAAGCTACGTGAAGAGCAGCAGGTGAAGAGGTGCATTATAAACTTCATCAGAGCCACCGTAGGTTGAATATGGACTATCTTTAAACTAGGGCCTCAATCAGATGAGCTGCGTGTAAGTTATAATGCAGGGATCGAGAACTGCAGGGCGCTTGATATAAGCAGTGTTGCATCTGTGGTGGCTGGCTTCTTGGTAATTGCTAGGGATCGAACTGGGGATCACCAGAACTAAAAGTCTGTGTTTCTACAGCTTGAGCTAGTTGATAGATGTAACAGCCGTATCCTCTGGATAGGCCCCAGAGGGGGCACATTGCACACTGTCTCTGTATGGGCTGAGAGGAAGGCATGGGTGAGTTCGGCATCCAGAACAGCAAATGATAATTAATGGGTATGGGGGTCTCAAAAATGGAAAGAGAAACCACAATGGGATTGAGAGTCTCAAGACAGGGCGGGAAGAACAATTCTGTGAGATCCTGGCACAGGTGGCAACGAAAAAATTTCAGCGAGCGAAAGATTCGGAAGCACCGTTGTAACTGCAAGGAGCCAGATTGTGCACTGGGGCGCCACCTGAGGAACTTGCCGTGCCAACCTCCCCTTTCGTGCCCAGAAAGGGTCTCGGCTGCTTCTGTTCTGCTCAAACCTGTAGGATGACCCTCTCTGGGTTCAGGGATCTGCAAGTGTGCTCGGGCTTGGGCCAGTGCACGAACATAACCCCTTCCAGCCCGCAGAGAGCCAGAGCATGCATATTCGGAAATGCCTTTAAAGGCAGGGAATGGGGAGCTTCTTGCAGGCCAGTTTCAATCAAAAGTGGCTTCAGATGACAAGTGCTACAGAGCAGAAGACTCTTGCACCAAGAGTAGTTTGATTGTATGCAAGCGTTAATCCATAGAAAGGCATGACTGATAATGTGGTGCGTGGTTGGTTGGCTTTCGTTTTTTTGTTTGTTTGTTCTGTGGTTCCTTATCTAACAGTTACCTCTCTAACACCGTGCATGAGACATGCTTTGGTAAATAATGGAGAGAAACTAAGTGGCACTTTTGCAAAATGTACAATAAAAATCAATGCATCTGTCCTACGCGGGCAGTTTGTTGTAAATTACAGAGCTAGTTTAAAGAGCAAATAATTTTAAAGACATTGTCAATTTGAAAATCACACTTTTCTCAAAATGGTTTACCTGCTGTCGTTTACTAGTACTGTGAACTTAGAGATCAATATTTGAGTTTGTTTTCTCAGTGTTGCTCTTTCTCCTGAATAGATGCTCTCCCCTTTTATTTTATTTTTTTTGGTTTTCACACATGACAGTCATTTTATAATAATATATGGAGATATACCTATCTCATAGAACTGGAAGGGACCCTGAAAGGTCATTGAGTCCAGCCCCCTGCCTTCACTAGCAGGACCAAGTACTGATTTTTGCCCCAGATTCCCTAAGTGGCCTCCTCAAGGATTGAACTCTCAACCCTGGGTTTAGCAGGCCAATGCTCAAACCACTGAGCTATCCCTCCCCCCTTCTTAGTAATTGCGCAACATGCCTCAGGTGGCACATGACTGGGATTCATCACCAAATTTGGTCTGCTGGTTGGATCATTAGCTTCCCTGGCCCAGGCCAGATACTGAGATGAAGTGCGACATGAATGCTGATCCATGCCCCCCACACATGGCAGTAAGAGATGGAAAACACAAGAAATAGAAATTGTGCAACCACAAAACTTGGCAAGGGGAGCCAGGGTTGGAAACACAATCTGCTCTTGAAGTTACTTGATTTCAGATTAATGGTATCCCTTTAATGTGAGCATTTGCCTGCTAATTATTATTATTTGTATTATGGTTGTTCCTAAAGACCACAGTTACAACAGAGGTCCCATTGCGCTACGTGTTATACAAACACATAGGTAACTTTAAAAAAAAATCTACACCACGAACGACAGAAAACATGTTATAAGAAAACGTTAACAGTTTAATTGATTTATATGTAACATGACACATCTGTGTGGGTTGCCAACCTAAGTGGGGATCCAAACCAAGGATTTCTGAGTCTTAAATATTGCGTTTTCTACTGTCAGCGCTAAAAGGCCTCTGCTCTTTTAATCACAGCTGTAGCAGGTCAACCTCTATCTGTGCCCCAGCCACCAGTAGAGGGAGACAGAGTGCCACACAGAGTAAGCATTGGTTACATGTATAAAACTTAAAGGACCCTATATATGATGGAATGGATGGATTTACTGAAAGCAATGGGTTCTTACAGGGAGGTAGTTCACAGTGATTGGCACCTGGCAGGACAGGGCCCAGTACACTAACAGCATTACTCATAAACTGCAAAAAGGAAACCAAATATTAGAAGTGTTGAACATTGAGGGTTGTACTCGAACTTGTCATGAATAGGCTAGTATGGGAGGTGTGTGTTTCCCTTTAAAAAGGGAGGCCTTCATTGGCATATCTCCTCCTTGAGTCAATCTGTGCAGAAAGCAGGCAAAAAAAGAGAAAAGGTGGGGTTGTTTTAACTGGTATGTTAGATGAATTAGTGAGACCTGACAGTACCGGGGACCCTGGCAGGTGAAGTTACCCCCTACGTTTTGTAAAACGAGTTTTTAGGAACACCGATGATCATTAGTAATGTTTCATTGAGCTAAACAGAAAATGTAACAAAGGAAAATACAATGGCGTCCCAAAGTGCTCAGATATCATGGAGTTGAGTGCAGAATGGCTAATCGGACAGACGGGTGGACTCACACAGTACTGATGTAGTGCTTTAGGACTCAACATTTTACAGCCGTGTTTAAATATCTCTCCCTTCCCCCAGACAAAAAGCCAACCAAAAACTGTTTTCCTTGTTTTTTAAAGCTATGAAAACATTTCTATTAATATTAGATTTCTTAAAATAATTTAACAAAATCTAAATATTGGGCCTAAACTAAATCTTTTAATTATAGCTGTGTTGGGAGATCCAGTAACTGTAATTACAAACAGTTATTTTTACACTAGTTACGTCTGGGTTGCTCTGAAGTTGGCATTGCTCGATAACTGGTAATAAGTTACTGTAAATGTATTAGTGTTCTTGGTAATGGATAACCCTCAATAAAGCAGTAAGGATTTACAGGAAGATATTACTTGTAAAGTTCCAAAGTAGCTACACACTCTTTTTTTCTTGTTTCTGCCTGCCCTGTGTATTTGTTTCTT